TGCCCTAGAGGACCTGCAGCCAGGCACCCTGCCTCTCCCTGCAGCGTGAAGCACTCCCCTACACGCGAGACGCTGACCTACGCGCAGGCGCAGAGGATGGTGGAGATTGAGATTGAGGGCCGCCTGCACCGGATCAGCATCTTGGACCCACTGGAGGTCATCCTGGAAGATGACCTCACGGCCCAGGAGCTGAGCGAGTGCAACAGCAACAAGGAGAACCGCGAGCGCCCACCCGCCTGCCTGCGGACTAAACGCCACCGGAGCAGCCGCGTGAGGAGGAAACACGAGGCCCCAGCCAGTGGCCCTGGTGCCCTGCCCCCTGCCAGCACACTGCCCGAGCCCAGGGTGCGGCTGCTGGAGTACAGCCCCCCGTCGGCACCGCGGAGACCGCCAGTCTACTACAAGTTCATCGAGAAGTCGCCTGAGGAGTTGGACAAGGAAGTGGAGTACGACCTGGACGAGGAGGACTATGCCTGGCTGGACCTGGTCAACGAGAAGCGCCGGGCGGAGGGCGTGTCCGCCGTGTCCCAGCACACCTTCGAGTTCCTGATGGACCGCTTTGAGAAGGAGTCCTACTGCGAGAACCAGAAGCAGGGCGAGCAGCAGTCGCTCATCGACGAGGACGCAGTCTGCTGCATCTGCATGGACGGCGAGTGCCAGAACAGCAATGTCATCCTCTTCTGTGACGCGTGCAACCTGGCCGTGCACCAGGAGTGCTACGGTGTGCCCTACATCCCCGAGGGCCAGTGGCTGTGCCGCCACTGCCTGCAGTCCCGCTCGCGCCCCGCCGACTGCGTGCTCTGCCCCAACAAGGGCGGCGCTTTCAAGAAGACGGACGACGACCGCTGGGGCCACGTGGTGTGCGCCCTGTGGATCCCTGAGGTCGGCTTCGCCAACACCGTCTTCATCGAGCCCATCGACGGCGTGCGCAACATCCCGCCCGCCCGCTGGAAGCTCACCTGCTACCTCTGCAAGCAGAAGGGCGTCGGGGCCTGCATCCAGTGCCATAGAGCCAACTGCTACACCGCCTTCCACGTCACCTGTGCCCAGAAGGCTGGCCTCTACATGAAGATGGAGCCCGTGAAGGAGCTCGCTGGCGGTGCTGCCACCTTCTCAGTCCGTAAGACCGCCTACTGTGACGTTCACACGCCACCCGGCTGCACCCGCCGGCCCCTGAACATTTATGGGGATGGCGAGATCAAAAATGGCGTGTGCCGCAAGGAGGGGACTGCCCCGGCTGCCAGGGCCACATCCAAAGTCCGCAAGAAGGCGAGGAAGGCCAAGAGGACGCCGGCGGAGCCCTGCACGGTGCTGCCCACCGTGTGCGCGCCCTACATCCCACCACAGAGGTATGCGCCCGACCTGGGCGCCTGCAGCACTTTGTTCCTGCATCTGGGTCTGGGTGGCCCTGCTTGACCGTTGCAGGAAGGGGCTGGGGCCCTCTTCCCACTGTCCTGCTCTTGGGACAGCTTCTCAACCCAGGCTGGTCTGGTGCCTTCTGTGGACCGTCCACCTCACCCCGCCCTGCTCCGTTCCCTCAGCCCCTTTCTCTTCGTGCCCTGTCCCCTCAGCGGCCTCCCCATGGTTCTCCTGCCATGTCCCTACGCATAGCGATGGTGGCCCTGGGAGAACAGAGGGCTGGTGCTGCTGCATTCTCCTCAGCACTGGCTGTCAAGGTTGTGGGCGAGGTGACCCAGCTGCCCGCCCCCCAGTGTGGCATGGAGTGTCGGTGGTGGCCGGGGCAGGCAGCCTGGCGGTGTGTGCTGGGGCTGCGTGGATGGGGTGGGCCTTGGGTTGTGGCGACATAGAGGTCAGTTCCTTGAGCCATCTGTTCGTGAGTCCTGGGTGCATGCCAGGAAGTCACGGAGCTCCTCAGTGCCCCTGGATATGTGCAGCGGGCCTTACCAGCTGGCTGGCTCCCCACAGGTGCTCTGCCCGAGTTTCTAAGTATGAGTGTGTCCGAGAGGCCTTACTGACATCGCGGGCCTGACAGCGTCATTGGCCGGGCAGGGTGGGGGGCCCCCCTCCCAGGGTGCCCTGGATCTGGGTTTCCAGGCCAGAGGCTGAGCTGCGCCCCCACTCCCATTTGTTTCTCTGCTCTGATTGGGGAGTAAACAGTCTTTAGTTCTGGGCCAAGCAGGCACCCATGGGACCCTGTTGCTGGTCAGGGACCTTGGCGTCTTGGGCAATCTCCTTAGTCTGGCTAGTGGTAGACTCCTGGGGTTGTTGGATGACTGGGCAGCTGTCTTGTCATGGTGGCCGAGGGCTGTGGCCAGCCTTCCCTAGGCCCTGACACTAACTCCACATTGCAGACGCCGGGCTGGGGCAATTTGCCTTCTGCCTAGAGGTGGGTGTGAGGCCATAGAGCTGCTCCCAGGACCCAAGTGCAAGGGAAGTGGGGCGGTGGGGCCAGGAGAGGGTTTCTCCTGCAGAGCCAGCAGGCCTGAGGTAGCCGGACATGAGGGCACCAGGAGCCTGGCCAGGTCTCACCGTCCTCCTGCCTGGTGGGGAAGCTCCTCTGTGAGCAAGTTGTCTGGACTTGAGAGCTGACTGAGATGGTGCTGGAAAGGAGGATGCGCCGCATGGCCTTCTGGAACCTTCTCCTGTGACTTGAACAAGATTCTTGTCTGGACACTTGCTTGTTAGCAGGCACCCACAGTGTCTGGTGCAGGTGACCTCAGATTGCACACCTGGCGAATGGCTGTGGCTGCCACTGCTGTGCTGTCAGTGTGCAGAGTGGATGCTGAAGGTGCCCGCAGCAGGTGGTTTCTGCACCTGCCAGCCAGCCAGCATGGGGACAGTGCCAGTTTCCACGGGCAGTTCAGCCTTCACTGACCTGCAGGAAGCCAGTGGCTTCTCCCCACCTCCCTTGTGGGGCATGAACTGCTGTGACGTGAGGAGCAGGGACCGTGACCAACTCCAGGTCCAGCCCTTGCTTGAGTGCTTAGAAACAGCGTGGTCGTGCACCTGGCTGGCCTCTGTGCCTGTGCAGAAATGCAGTGGAGGACATTGGCCACCTTCCGGTTCAGCCGAGTCCCAGCCCTGATTCCATTTGTGAACATGGGGGTGGGGGGGGTGTCATTGTCACTCTGATTGAGGGCAGTTCCTGAGCATGGTCAGTCCCAGTCTTCCCCTGAGTGCCACGCTGTCACCTGTCCTGCCTGCCCACAGTCACCGCAGGGTGCTTGTGCTGCTGTCCTGTGCAGCACTGGGCAGGGCACGCGAGTGGCGTGGCTGCAGGAGAGATGTGCCAGGTAGTGTGAGGACCAGTCAGGGCAGCCATTGGGCAGAGCCTGCCCCTTTATGGGGTTTTCCAGAGTGGCGAATTACTCACGTTCAGTATGTGGCCCTTCTAGCCATAGGCTTGTTTTCTCTCCCTAAAAGACCTTCGTGTTTGGGGCTGGGTGGGAAGGTGGAGAAGATCCTGATGTGCTGATTCGATCGGGCTGTAAGGGTGGGATTGAACAGCATTCATAGGGTTGTGAGGTGGATCGAACAGGGTCCATCAGCTGTGTGGGGATTGAACAGGTCCATCAGCAGTGAGAGGATAGAACAAGGTCCATCAGCTGTGAGGGGATTGGACAGTGTCCATCAGCTGTGAGGGGATAGAACAGGGTCCATCAGCTGTGAGG